GAGCAGGACAACTCAGACAACAACACCATCTTCGTGCAGGGGCTGGGCGAGAACGTCACCATCGAATCGGTGGCGGATTATTTCAAACAGATCGGGATTATCAAGGTGAGAATACACCCAAAATACACCCAAAACACCCCGAAAATACGCCCAAAATTCACCCAAAAATGCACCCAAAAATGCAGCAAAATACATCCGAAATACACCAAAAAAATACACCCAAAATACCCCAAAAACACCCCAAAAATGCAGGAAAAATACACCAAAAATACACCCAAAACACCCCAAAATACACCCAAAATACTCCAAAAACACCCCAAAACACCCCGAAATCACCCCAAAAATACACCAAAAACACCTGGGGACATTGGGGACAGTCGGTGATGGATGATTTCAAACAGATCGGCATCATCAAGGTGAGAGAACACCCAAAATACAACAAAACCACCCCAAAACACCCCAAAATCACCCCAAAAATATACCATAAACACCTGGGGACATTGGGGACATTGGGAACAGTCGGTGATGGATTATTTCAAACAGATCGGCATCATCAAGGTGAGAGAACACCCAAAATACAACAAAAACACCCCAAAAATACACTGAAAATACACCCAAAATACAGCAAGAAATACAGCAAAAATACAGCAAAAATAAACCCAAAATACACCCAAAATACACCCAAAATACACCAAAAAATACACCCAAAACACAGCAAAAACAGACCAAAAATACATCGAAATGCACCCAAAAATACACCCGAAATACAACAAAATACACCCAAAATGCACCCAAAAAGACACCCAAAACACACCCAAAATACACCCAAAAAATACAGCAAAAACACCCCAAAAATACACTGAAAATACACCCAAAACACCGCCAAAACCACAGCAAAAATACACTGAAATACACAAAAAAAATACACCCAAAATACCCCGAAATACACCCAAAATGCACCGAAATACACCCGAAATACCCCAAAAACACCCCAAAATACCCCAAAAATACACCCCAAAAACACAGCAAAAATACACCCAAAATACCCCAAAAATACACCCAAAATACCCTGAAATACACCCAAAATACACCTGGGGTCACTCAGGGGTCACTCAGGGGTCAAAGGTCACTCAGGGTCACTCAGGGGTCACTCAGGGGTCACTCAGGGTCACTCAGGGGTCACTCAGGGG